AGTAGCAAATGACTTTGCAGTTATCATTCTTAGGAGAAGAGGGGAGGTCTGTGTTAGAATGGACTAGGATGCAGTGGTAAAGGAGATAGAAATAGAGGACAAGGGAGAAGGAGAGGGGGACAAGGGAAAGTGGACAGGAACATTCGTCCCAGGGGGACAAAGGACTGCCTCTGGATAGAGAGGAGACAGATGTGACCCATAGGAAAATAGCTGTTTATAAAAGTATAAGGGGAAAACCCATGTTAGGATGACGTGTTTACTTTAAATTGAGATTTTTAACCAGCTGAACCAAAGGGGGCTTCTGATGGTTGAATGTTAATACTTTGATAACTAGATCTCAGTGGTCAGTCTAGGGAGGAGGAAGTGGCCAAATAAGGGTGTAGACCTTGGTGGCTAGCTCTAGGAATGCAATCTAATGTTTGCTTGTTTGTTTTTTGTTGTTGTTGTTGTTTAGCAAGGTAGAGGGAACTGGGGAGAAGAGCAAGATCTAGCAGAGTCACATGATTGAGTGGGCTTGTGTCTGTTCAGTGGACATGAGGCTTGAGTGGTTTTCCATACTGTTGTTGCTGGATAACTCTGTGGGTCTGCTGCCCAGCACTCTGCAGTTGTTAGCTTTACCACAGGAGAGCATCACACAAAGGGCACACTCCTTCTGCCTCCTCAGGTTCTGCCTCTTTCTCATTCTTTCAACAAGAATATGACAGACCTCTGTAGCATGGGCTGAAGCTTATTAGGGAAGCAGAGATTCCTGATGGGGGTAGGGGGCTCATATATCCCCTTCTAGAACTACCTGTCTCAGGTGGGAGAGGTGACAATGGAGGTCTCTAGATAGGTAAGTTCATAGTACAGGATAGAGCAGACCATCATTTAGAAGGTTTATCACACAAGGCTAGAACCCATTCCCGAACTCTACCACTTCTGAGCTGAGGGTTCTGAAGGGCACCTGGAACACAGGGATTTAGCAAATGGCAACTTCTATTACCTGTAGAAAGACTCATAAGCTCCTAGAAAGTCAGAGGGAAACTGTGATTAGCTGTTCTCCAGCGATGCTCAGCTTGGAGCAAGAACCACAGAGAGGAGGTGGTCCTGGTGAGAACCAGGGGCTCAGGACTTAACTTGGGTGTTTTTGAATGTGTTCTTCACCCCCCCACTGATGGTCCAGTTAAGCAAGGCTAAGGCTCTTCTTCAGCCTTGCTCTAGATTAAGAGCCATCCTTCTGGCCCTGTGGGGGCCATCTTTGTGGAAGCTTCCTATGCATGGCTTCTGTAGCTCAGCCCTGCTCTTGGCTTTGGTGCTGATTGTAAAAATCTTTGGAGCACAGGTGTGAATCCCATTTTGAGTTACCTAAAGAATCTGTACAGGTAGGGAACTACAGAGGCTGGTTTTTAAGCCTCTCAATACCACCATTAAAAGACCACAACTACTTTCAAAGGAGAGCAGTTCTATTTGAAAGATGTATTTGAACCAACCTTTAAAGGCCTGGGAGAACAGAATAGACAGTTAAAAAATAGATCATGGCTGTGCTTTGCCAGCCTGCCACTGCTTGGGACATCCTTCAGTCCAAACATCCCTGTTTTCTGAGAAAAATTGACTCTGTTGATCTACTCAGAGTTGGGGGTAGATGGGATGGATAGCTCACTTTGTGCCTCTTCCTCCCTGTTTTCTCTCACTGATGCACTCTTCGCTTACCTGCTGAGCAGTCCCAACAAAAATTCCCTTGAGTGGTAGCGTCCAGGAACCACCAGCATGGGTTATTCACCTAACATGACACCGAGCCAGAGAGACCTGTGCTCTGCTCTGCAGGAAGATATAAGGAAAGAGAGTCTCATGAGAAACTCGGGAGAAGGAGAAACCCAATCTTTTCCACATGTTGGTAGTGGCAGAAACCTGGAAGACAGAAGAGGCCATGTAAGGAGCAAAGGGATAGGGCAACAGCTGGACTTCATGCCCTCCTTTGCATTTGCTGAGATACTGTGCAGACTTGGGAGCTGGTGTGCCGCAGTTTCTCCAAGACTGGAACACTCAATCCTGCAGAGAAGCTCATCAAGACAGGAAGTAAACAACTCAAGCTAGCGCCAGGAAGTCCCTGAAACTGACCAGATTCAGCAGGCCCCAACATTCCCAGGGTATGTAAACAGGGAAGACAGTGGGGCGTCTCTCTCAGATAAGCCAAGTTGTGAAGAGGATTCTAAGACAAGTCCAGCCACCTGAAAAAAGCAGAGACAAGCTTAGCAACCTGGAAGAGGTGCAGATCCACTGAGCCATCTGGAAAGGACACTCTCCAATCTGTTGAGCTGCCTGTAGGCTATTCAGTGTGCTCCAAGTTCCCAGCTGTGTGAGCTGTTACTCACGCTGGGGTGGGTCTTGGTGATGCATCTCTTTGGGTCTTTTCTGCTCCTGTAAGTAAACTCCTCACCCATATTCCTGTAAATAACTCATTGGTTCACCAAGGCTTTGGTACTATCTGTACTCTGGTCTGTTGTGCGTTCTCTATCTGGGGTGAGAAGATGTGTGCATTTGTGTGTGTGTGTGTGTGTGTGTGTGTATGAGAGAGAGACAGAGAGAGGGAGAGAGAGAGAGAGAGAGAGAGAGAGAGAGAGAGAGAGAGAGAGAGAGAGAGAGAGAGAGAGAGAGAGAGATCTGAGGAAAAAGGCCTTCCCAATGGAAATGTTGCTGCTCTGATGGGAAATGTTTCCCCTATGGAAGTGTTGCAGCTCCAGTTAGGGGGATAGGGAGGTAGGGAGTAGGGGGTAAGGAGTAGAGGGGTAGGGCAGTAGGAAGCAAACATCCTGTCAGTCAGAAGCCAAGAAATACCACAAAGTCACATTGCGCAACAAACTTTATACAAGAGATTTGTTGGGAAAGACACAAGAGACAAGAGGGTGGCTTCCTATGCTTGGATGAGAAACAGCAGAAAATGAATAGGAGACAGGTTTATGGGTTTCTTTTTTTGTAGTGTGGGGGGGGGAGTTTTCCAAGATAGAGATTTCAAGGGTGGGGATTGGTGAGATTTTAAGTCCTGAGCTGGAAGTGAGTCAGGCGAATTTTGAACAGCTTTCAAACTGAGAGCTGGGACTTTTTTTTTTTTTAAAAAAAACCTTACAGCTCTAAGTGTATCAGCTCCATTTGACCACAGTCTTCTGAGAAAGTGTTGGCAGTATGGCAATGTACAGGTGAGGAAAGCTGAACTTACATACTAGAGTTACTAGAGTTACTTGATGTTTGTCAGCTTTTCATTTCCTGAAGGAAGTACCTGGAACAAGCAAACCTACAAATCAGAGGCTTAACTAGCTCACAGTTCTGAAAGCATAAGTTCCAAATGGCTAGGCGTGGACTCTGGAAAACATTTTTTCTTGTCTATATCAGTTCATGGAGCTCTGCTATGTTGGTGTGTGGATGCAGAACAAGTCATCAAGGAAGACAGAGCTCTAAGACAGGCTGGTCTCAGGCTTTTATGACACTCTTTTACAACTACCGTGGATCACACGAGTGTCGCAGAAATATTAAGCTACACAAAGTAGGGATGTCGTATGATATTTTATTGAGGCAGAAGTTGCTTACATGAGAAGCAAAGAAAGCCGAGAACCAAAGGTCTGCACGCTGCTATCCGAGACCCAAAGAGCAAGCATCTCCTTCTTCCCAGATCTTCTAACCCTGGTGCGTTCTGCGTGCCTGTGCCCATACCCAAAGATCTCTCCCTATTCACAAGGAATTCCTTAACTTGATGTTAAGGCACAGCCTCTAATTGCCACCAAAGCCCAAATGGTTGCTAACCTTCTAAGTCTTAAAGCTTCCACCATTTCTCATTACTGGCACCCTAGGCACTACGAGAGCCTGGGACACTCTCAAAGTACAATGTACACCACGCCACTCTTCCTTGGTCACACCACTAATTGGGAGTGGTCACTCTTAAACACAGGCAGTTGGATGCCTAGGCTTTGGTTGTTTGTCTCTTAGGCAATAAATGTTTTAGGCCATGCACAGGCACTTAAAAAGTGTGCAGGTACTCAGTTCTACCTTGGCCACCTGGAGCAGCACCAGGTAACACTCAAATGAGTGGGCACTGGTATTTGGCCTTGAGTTCTGGACCTAACTGCAGGTTGTAGTTTCCCTGGCTAAGGGAAAAGATGTGGGCTTCAATGGAAAAAAACCTGAGTTACATCTTCCATCTGCCTGCTGAGCATACTTGGGATATAACCTCCCTTTCTTCAGAGTGGATAATGCTACCCTTCTGGACACAGGTGGAAAGGACTTCATGAGAATTCCATAAGATATTCACCCAGTGCCTGACACATAATTATTTCTCAATAAATGTAGTTGTCACTTTTTTCTCACTTCATACCCACAGACAGCCCTAAAGGAAGGGGCATTGCTCAGTGAACCCTAAGGCAAGAATAAGTGTGTTCATAGTAGTGTTTGATTTGGGCTTCATGAAAACCTCCTGACATATATAGACAATATAGATCTAAGGCTGTGATATTTTGCACTTGAGACACCAGAGACAGATAGATGGTAAGTAATCTGCCCCAGCCTCAGTTGGGCATTTATCCCTAAATCCCAGGTGTCTTACAAACTATTCACAGGCCCCAGTCTTCCCTATGGCCCCATGCCTATCTTTTACCCTTGACATCTTGGGTTCTCTATCAAATGAAGGAAATAAACCCAAGAGCGACTGGAGCTCACCAGTCCATCAGGGTTGCTGAGTAGTTGGAGGACATCTATGCCTCTGTTAGAACTGGGAGGGCTGACACAGGAGGCCAGACTTTATAAGTAGACATACATGTCATGAGTGCTGTAACATGCTGTGTGCTGTCACATTTGAGGTTCTGCTCACAGGAAACCTGAGTCTTCTGGGCCAGGATCTGATGGGTCTAGATTAGAGGAAGAGCTTTCTAGATAGTTTTTGTTGTTGTTGTTAGCCTGTGTGTCTATATGTTTTTGAGAAATTATCACATTGAGAGTAACAGGAAAAAGGGAATAAAGAGTTGGAAAATGGCCCAGGTTTTTCCCTAGCAAGCCAGGAGGAAAAGCGATTTAATTTACTACATCGTCAAGTCCATAGCTTCCAGCAGCAGGACTCCATGCTGGCATCCTTGTCTGCTCTTTCCACCGCTCATGTAGGAGCTCCATCTCCCTGCCTGTGGTGACACACAACTCAAAATTTCCAGAACCTAGGATTCTGCAGGATCGGAACAGAAACACCAAGAATCTTTTTGAAAATCAATACACCAATGAACAGAAGGAATATTCTGTAAACCATAGATGGAGGTTGAACATAGGCTAGAGTTCCATAGTCATTCATGAGCATCTATTTAAATGAGGCCTCACAGTGCAGGTGCTCCCTCTGGGGAGGTGTGGCTGCAGAGTGTAATGTGGGGCAGGCAGTACCAGTTCCTCCGTTTGCACACACTTGGGCTTTCCATTTTAAAATCACTGTTGCTATTCACAGTATCTTTCCCTTTATGGAATGTCCCCATTTCATCTTTGTCAGCCCTAAGCACTGGGAACCACTACAATTCTAACATGCTGTGTAAGGCTGGCTAGACAAGAATTTCCTCTGCTGAAGCCAGAAAGCCATGCCTGCACATACTGTGTGTGTGTGTGTGTGTGTGTGTGTGTGTGTGTGTGTGTGTGTGTGTGTGTGTGTAGGATAATTCTACTGAGGTATGATTCACAGAGCATAACAATTCAGCTTAAATCTATAATTCAGGTATTTTTATGAGTACATTCACCACACATTGTACATTCATCAGCACTATCTAATTTTATTACCATTAATAAAACTTCCATATTCATTAACAATCCTACAATAGTTCCCTTTTCCTAGGCTTCTGGAAAGCACCGTCTTTTCTTTTTGTCCCAGTGGAGTCTCCTGCTCTGGGTATTATTTTGTATGTAGTCATGTAGCCTGTGGCCTTTGTGGCTGACTTCTGCCTAGTGTCATCTTTTAATTCATCCACAGTGGAGCATGAATCAGATTATCATCCCTCTTTATGGTCAAATAATTAACCATTGTATGAACTTGCCACGTTCTGGTCACCCATTCACCAACTGATGGGTGTTTAAATTGCTTCCACACTTTCTTATCATTGAATATCTTGTGCAGATTCTTGTGTATAATTAAGTTCTCAATTCTCTGGAGTATATACAGAAAGGAAAAGTTCCTGGTTATATGGTTATCCTAAGTAAGTTTTGGTAACCCTGTATTTTTGAGGAACTGCTAAATAATTTCTCAGATATGTACATCATTAGACAACAGCATCCATGCCATATGAACTTTTCAATTTCTTTACAACTTACCAACATGTGTTGTTTGACATTTTGATTCTTTTTACCTCGTATAATGTTCAGATTAGGATGATTATTCTTAGAGAATTTCATAAATGCATACAATGTATTTTGATCACATTCAACCTTCATCATTCCCCCTAACTTCTCTCAGAAAAGTTCCTTACTCCCCTCCGCACCCCAATTTTGTATCTTCCTTCTGTTTTTGTAATAACCTAGAGTCTAGTGTGTGCTGCCCATATACTCATGTGTGTAGAGCCATCTATTGGCATGTGGTTGACGTACAGGGGTCGGGGGCATGCCTTTAAAGAAAAGTGACTGTCCCCAACCTTATAGAAGCCATCAACTATAGATATCTCCTCAGTGAGGGGTAGCGGGCTAGTGAATACCTCCTCCCCTTATTGCTGCAATGTTGACTGGCTTGATATTGTATAGTTCTTATATAGGTAAGTACAGTAGTCCTGTCTTGCCAATAATACACTGTTTCAAGTCAATAGCCTTCAACATCTCACCCTCACAGCCTTTCTACCCCCTTTCACGATGGTTCTCTAGCCTTGGGGTGTTTATGAGTGTGTGCATATGTGTATGCGTCTGGTGTGTGTGTGTGTATGTGTGTCTGTCTGTCTGTCTATCTGTCTGTCAGTGATATAGATGTCCTATTTGTTTCTGACCACTCCACAAACATTTATTTTCTGCACTTTTGACTAGTTGTGAATTTATGTGCTAACCACAATTGGCTGCATAAAGAAACTGCTCTGATGAGGTCTGAGAGCTGTTCTAATCTATGAGTACCGAGACAGTAATCTAGAGAGTAAGTTAATACTGTGCCTATTTAGCAAAATAATGCTAGTAGTTCACCTCTAGCATTCACCTACCATGGTTCCTGCTTTGTCTTCATGATGGACTGTGATGTGGAAATAAAAGCCAAATAAACTCTTTTCTCCTGAAGGTGTTTTGTTTGTGGTGTTTTTCATAGCAATAGAAAAATAAACCCGGACTATAACGTTATATAGTTTAGAATATCTTTTTGGAGGAGGAGCTTGAGACAGGGTTTCTCTGTGCAACAGCGCTGGCGACTGTCCTTGAACCCACTCTGTAGACCAGGCTGTCTTTGAACTTATAGGGATCCACCTACCTTCGTCTCTGCCTCCTGAGTGCTGGGGCTGAAGGCGTGTGCCACCACTGCCCGGCTGTAAATATACTTCTATTTGTCAGGGTTATGCCAGAGAAAGACTTCCGTACTGACCTAACAGGTTCTGCTCTGTGTCTTTTTCTGCGGTTCAACATCTTAAAGTATCGTATCATGCAGTTTCTCTAGTCCTCCCTTTAGTTCATCTCCCACAATTGCACAGGTGGACTGCAAAAACCAAGAAGCCGATGCACCCATTACTGACTGATTGTCTTAGTGCAAAATCCTCAATTCGTTTTTGTTAGCAACTATAAGCACAGGGAGTCCTTGGTTTTCTGTTACCTTAGGCATTCTACGGAGTCCTGTTTTTACTTCCCCCCTCTCAACATCAACAGAGTCCATCACAGACACAATGCCGTCTATTCATCTGGTAAATGACTTACACAGTGGCTCGTTACTCTTGATTTCCTGTAACCCAGAAGTTGAAAACTGACTGTTTTAGCATTGCCCAGAGCTTCCTAAGATTTCTCCATGTTAAACCCCTTGGAAGGCATGGTATTTACAAATTCATTGAACTGCATTGAACTGCAGCCTGTATAAGACAGCTGTCTTTCCAGTACAGCCCCAACCCAGAATACCAAAGCATAAGGACTGAAAGCACAGCCGGCTGGACAGGATGGGCCCTGGTCTCACATTGGTTCCCCATTCCCAGCTGCAAATTGCGCCCAAATTGAAACATGTTTTTCCTAACTGCTTTAGAATTTCTCTTCATGGGTGATCCAACTACAAGACTGATCCCAGATTGGAGTCCAGATCTAAATGAGAAAATATTGGCAGGCATTTCTGTGCAGGGGTGGAGGGGGCGCTCCTCTCATCACTTCGGCCTGGTTCTCCACACAGCGCTGAAGGTTGATGCTTTATTAGAAACATTTTGACTCATACTCTCGTGAACCCACCTCTCCTGGCCCTCCTGAGATTCTAAAACCCATTGATCAGTACTTTGGGGCAGCGATGCCATACCCATCCCATTGCCCTAATTGGCCAAGCTAACAACTGCTCCCAGGGCTGCAGAGCTGGCCTCTTTTATTTGATCCACCCGCAACACCTGTTGCCTTGACACTCTGTCCTCTCCTGTTTGACTCCCCATCTTTCACTGAGAGGGAGGTGCACTGATGCCTGACACAGGGTACCAGTGAGGCCTGAATTGAGACAGCAGTGCACACATGGTATACCAGGCTGCCAGGCAGGCATAACTTACTGGGCAGCTTTGTGCCAGCTTGCACTAATGGTTGAGAGGTAAGACTCTTGTCTTCTAAATGATCTTCAGTGAAAGATATTGTGTGTGTGTGTGTGTGTGTGTGTGTGTGTGTGTGTGTCGTGGAGTGTATTGTTAGAATTTTTCTTACATTGCTTCATCAAGTTGAAGCCCTGTTCTAATTTCTGGATTTTTTGGGTGTGTGCGTGTGTGTGTGTGATTTTTCCTCATTAATGGGGTTAAATCTTGCTCGCTGCTTTTTGTCTACACATTTTCAAAACTTCTGATTCTTGATACTACAGTGCATTTTGCTGATTTTCAAATATTAGATGAGCCTTGGATTCTGATGATAAATCCCTCTGAATTATGGTATGGAATTATCAATTTTTTGTATCATTGGATTCTGTTTGGTAAAATTTTGATAACATTTGAGGATTTTTGGAATATTTTGAAGGGATGTTGGTTTACAGGTTTGTAATCATCAATGGCAACCTTGTGCATATGTCAGGGCTCTCTAGAGACACAGAGCTGATAGAATGAATCTGTATTTATAAAAGGAGGATTTATTAGAGTGGCTTACAGGCTGTGGTCCAGCTAGTCCACTGATAACTATTTTCTGAAAGAAAGTTCAAGAATCCAGTAGTTGTTCAAGTTCATGAAGCTGGTTGTCTCAGTATATGTTGGAATCCTGAAGAAGTAGAATCTAATACCAGTGAAGGAATGGATTTGCCAGAGTCCTTCATATAAGCTGCTACCAAAATATATAACCCAGACTTAAGGGGGTGTCTCCACCTCTAAAGATCAGGATTTAGGGTGGGACTTTCCACCTCAAATGATTCAATCAAGAAAAAAAATCTCTCACAGGTGTGGCCAGTAGCTTGGCTTTTAGTTAATTTCAGATACATTCAAGTTGACAACCAAGAGCAGCCATCATAGTATGTGTACAAATTTACTCTGGAAAGAGTTATCTGAGAGTCTTGTTTAGAAATGACTATGTGGGGATAGAACATATTTATTCTGTTAATACATTGTGTACATGTATTAAATGACCACATAGTACCCCAAAATGTGGACAATGCTTATGTATCCCACAAAAATAAGAATGGAAACAAATAGACTAAATAAAAATAAATCACGGTATGTATATGCCTATGAGCACACACAGGTGAGTACATCTTGTCTGCCCTTTCAGTGTGCCTCAGACAGGACTCTATATGTAAATTTGGGAGCTCTTTCTTGGTCCTTCCAGACAAGAAGCCAGCTTAAGACTCACTGGAATCATCAAACACTCACAGCTTTTCACCTGTTGACTCAAAATTCATAATCTTCTTCATCAGCTTATAACATAGTTTGTAACTAGTATCTTTATCCATATTTAGCCATATGAGTTCTTTGGATGCACCCCCCCCCCGTGTGTTGTGTGTGTGACCCACAAGGGCAGGACAGAAGCCAAAAGTAGAGGAGTGACAGGTGATTGTGACTGTTGAGCAGAGGGATCTTCCTCTTTACTATGTGCTGCCCCCTATTTTTCTAATATGCCATAAAATCAGGAGACCCTGGCTCAGAAAACTGTAGATTAGCAGTCCTATAGAGCAGGGCTTTTAAACCTCAGATGGATGGACACCTATAGGTTGAGGAGGGCCTGTGTGATACTTCTGAACTCCTAAATTCTGTGTATACGTACTTACCAGTGGAGGGACCTTCTGAGTTTCATCAGAAACGCTGAAGTCCTAGGTCCCTGTTCTAGAGCTATTCACGGCAGGAGAGTTTTCAGTGCTGTGCCATCCCCATAAGGCATGTGGAGGTGCCTGGGGTGCTCACCCAGGGCCCTGCTGGGAGTCCCTCTGATGGTGGATAATTGAGGAAAGTGCAGTAATAGAGCTGATGGTTGCTTATGCTCTTCCTAAGAGATAAGTCCCACCTGTGTTAAAAAGACACCGGAGAGTTGAACATTGTAGGATGAGAAGGCAGTGTGAACACTGAGGAGTGCTTGCAGCATTTACAGGTTAAAAATAGCTGCTTAGAGTCTTCAGTGTCTTCAGTGAATGTGAATATGGGTTTTAATGCCAACCTTGATCCAACCCCACCCCAAATAAGGTGCTAACACAGAAAGATGTCCTGTGGCAGATCAACACACTGTCCCTATAAAGTGGCAGAAAGTCCTTGAACTTTGGAGATCACACAGGGTCTCAGCTACTCAGGCTGTAGTCATACCAAAGCACCACAGGCAAGAGAAAGTGGGTTGACGTGACTGTATTCTAATATAATTTTTTATGAACCCTAAAACTTGACATTATGTACATTTAATAAAATCACAATTAGTTTCTCTTCTTTGGATGATTTTAAACATTTAAGAATGTAGAGTTTATTTCTAGCCTGGGATTTGTCCAAGTGGAGTCTATAAGGTCTGACTGGCTTCTCAGATAGGATGTGTATCACTCTATCCTTATCCACATTGGCTTCGGTTGAAGAACCAAGATCAGTTATGTGGCAAATGTAATAACTGAAGATTAATGTCAGAGGGTCCTTTAAACTTGATTAATTCTTTTTCTGCATCCTCCCATAATTATGTGGAGCCATTGGCTCTCAGACAGTCATCTCATTTAAAATCATCTTAAATCTTTTCTTACGTAAGTAGAATATAAAAAGCATCCCTTAAATATTTAGTTAAGTTGGGTGTATACAGTGCATTTTTGTAGTGGATATTATAAACTAAATTATTAAAATATTTAATATCAGGAAAGTTTGACAAACACCATAAGAGATAAAGACCTTTCTCAGTGGGAAGCATGCAGATCACAGTCTTTCCACATTTTTCCCTTAATTTTTTAAATTAAAAAATATTATTTTCTCATACAATATACAGTGTTTACAGTTTTCCCCTCCCCTTACTCCCGCCAGTTCCTCTCCACTCCCCTCCCCTCCAGATCCACCTCCTTTCTGTCTTTCATGTAAAGAGAACAGACTTCTAACAACCAAACATGACAAAACAAAATGTAAGAGGAAGGGAAAACTGCCCCATCAGGACTGGACCCGACACCCACAATGGAAGGAAAAGAGCTGCAACAGCAGGGACCAGAACCACAGAACTCCTCGCTTACACATTCAGGAGTGCCCTCGAAATGCGACAAGCGATGATGTATACTCAGAGGACCAGCCGTAGACTAGGATCAGCCCTGTGTTTGCTGCTTCAGTCTTGTATGAGCCTTGCTCTGTTGATTCAGGGCGCCTCGCTCTCCTGCTGTCCTCGAGTCCCTCTGGCTCTTGCGCTCTTTCCACCTCCTCTTCCTGAGCTCTGAGGGGATGGATTTGATGGGCACATCCTATTTAGAGCTGTGCGTTCCAAGGACTCTCTCTCTCTGCATAATATGTGGCTGTGAGTCTCTGCATCTGTTCCCATCTGCTACAGGAAGAAGCTTCTCTGATGATGACTGAACAAGGCACTGATGTACGAGTATAGCAGAATATCATTAAGAGTCATCTTATCCTCCCCATCCCTTCTTGTCCTTTTTTTATGGACCAGTAGTGTTTGGTTTTACCCTAGGTCTCTCGGCTATCTAGTGTCTGGTTCTTGGTTACTTAAGCAGTGCCAGATATAAGTTCTGTCTTGTGGAATGAGCCTTAAATGTCAAATCAGACGTTGGCTGGCTACTCCCACAAGTTCTGTGTCACTGTTGCCCATAGGTCAAAGGTTTTGAGACTGAGTTGGTGTTTACATATCTCTTTTGGTATCCTGTAGAGTACCTTCCTGCACCAAAGACACTGGAACATACGGTGAAGGCAACAGCTCCATTTCTCCATGTTTAGTGAGTTATGTGGATGTTGTCCTTAGCAATGGGGCATGGCTGCCAATTTGTGGAAAGCAACTCATTGTCTTGGCAACAGCTTGGGTTGTTTGAGAATTTCCATGGGTTCCCCTTAGCCAACACCTCTATAGAATACAACCCAGTCTCAGTACTGGAAGCCTTATTTGTTGACAAGAGGCAGCTAGTCGGGACTCTTGTCTCCCCTATTATTAGGCAATCTTATTAGAATTGCCTTGGTATATTTTAAGATATTTCTATTGCATTAGGTTTCCATGCAATCCCTCAAAACCCCTCAATTCCGATTGTCTTTCTCTACATTCCTTCCCTTAACTTCTCACCCTCCCAACTCGAACCTCCTGTCTCGCCCTAGTCTGCCCAAAAATCTATTCTGTTTTCGTCTCCCAGGGAGATCCGTGTGTTCTTTCTAGTCCCTTCCTCTACACCTACCCTCTCAGAGTCTACATATTGTAGGCTGTTTATCGTCTATTTAAGGCTAATATCTACATAACAGTGAATATATACCATATTTATCTTTCTGGGTCTGAGTTACCTCACTCAGCATGATTTTTTCCAGTTCTGCCCATTTGCCAGCAAATTTCATGATGTCATTTTTAAGAGCTTTTTAGTAGTACTGCACTGTAGAAATGTACCACATTGTCTTTGTCATTTTTGTTGTTGTTGTTGTTGAGGGGCATCTAGGTTGTTTCTAGTTTCTGGTTATCATGAACAAAGCAGCAATGAACATGGTTAAGCAAGTGTCCTTGTGGTAGGATGGAGCATCTTTTGGATATATACCCAAGAGTGGTACAGCTAGATCTTGAGGTACACTGATTTCCAACTTTGTGAGGAACTGCCATATTGATTTCCACAGTGGCTGTACAAGTTTGCACCACCATCAGCAGTGGAGGAGTGTTCCCCTTATTCCACATCTTTTCCAGCATGATCTATCACTTGTATTTTTGATCTTAGCCATTCTGACAGATATCTTAGTGTCATTTTGATTAGTATCGACCTGGTGAGTAAAGATCTTGAACATTTCTTTAAGTGTTTTTTAATCATCTGAGATTCCTCTATTGAAAATTATGTTTAGAACTGTATCCCATTTGTAAACTGGACTATTTGTTTTTTTGATACATGGTTTCCTGGGTTTTTAATATTTTGATTATTAGAGCTCTACTAGATGTTGAGTTGATAAAAATATTTTCCCGGCTGGGCGTTGGTGGCGTACGCCTTTAATCCCAGCACTAGGGAGGCAGAGGCAGGCCGATCTCTGTGAGTTCATGGCCAGCCTGGTCTACAGAGCGAGTTCCAGGACAGCTTCCAAAACAATACAGAGAAACCCTGTCTCCAAAAACCAAATATATATTTTTTTCCATTCTGTAGGCTGCTGCTTTGTCCATATGACAGTGCCCTTTGCCTTACAGAAACTTTTTCAGTTTCCTGAGGTCCTGTTTATTGTTGATCTTAACGCCTGTGCTATCAGTGTTCTGTACATAAAATTATCTCCTGTGCCAATAAGTTTAAGACTTTCCCATATTTTCTGTTCTATTTTCAGTGTACCTGGTTTTATGTTGAGGTCTTTGATCCACTTGGACATGACTCTTATGTATGATGATAAATATGCATCTATTTGCATTCTTCTACATTCAGACATCCATTTAGACCAGCACCATTTGTTGAAGATGCTGTTGCTAGCTTATCAAAAATCAAGTGTTCATAGATATGTGGATATATGTCTGGGCCATCGATTCAATTCCATTGTTCAACATGTCTGTTTTTGCACCAATACCATGCTGTTTTTATTACTCTAGCTGTGCAGTACAACTTGAAATCAGGAATGGTGAGGGCCCCAGGAGTTCTATTATTGTTAAGTTTTACTTTAGCTATCCTGCTTCTTTCCCAAGCTAAAAATTGTCCTTTCAATCTCTGTGAAGAATTGTGTTGGAATTTTGATATGGATTGAACTGAATCTATAGGTTGCTTTTGGTAGACTGTTAATCCCACTGATCCAGGAACATGGGGGATCTTTCCATCTTCTGATATCTTCCCCAATTTTTCTTCAAAAACTTGAAGTTTTTATCATATAAGTCTTTCACTTTCTTTGTTAGTTACACCAAGATATATTATTTGAGGCTATTATGAAAGGCATTTTCATTTCTTTCTTTGTCATTTGTATCTAAAGATTCTTTCCTATTTGTATCATTTTGGTCTCCTTCAGTTGTCTCATTGCTCTAGCTAAGACTTTCAGTGCTATATAGAATAGATATATAGAGAGTGGACAACCTTCTCTTGTTCCTGATTTTAGTGGAATTGCTTTGAATTTCTCTCAATCTAAGTTAATGTTGGCTAAAGGCTTGTTGAAAATTGTCTTTATTATGTTTAGGTATGTTCCTTATATCCCTGTTCTTTCCAGGACTTTTTTTTTTAGCTTTTTTTACTTTAATTTTAAATAGCTTGCTTCACATGTCAATCCCAGTTACCTCTCCCTCCCCTCCTCCCACCCCCCCCATCATCTCCCCCAGCCTCCCACCCTATCCCCACTTCCTTCCACATAGGGAATATCCAGAGTCTGTCATTTCCCTCAGGGAAGGGTCCAGGCACTCCTCTAAGAGATCAGGCTGAGAGAGCATCCCTCTTTGTGTTATGGACACATGATGTCTGTTAGTATTCGAGGGATAAACACTGATCTATTGCCCAGGGCCCCATAGGTTGGCCAGGCTTCCTCACTGACTCTCACAATCAGAGGGTCTGGATCAGTCCCATGCTGGCTTCCTAGCTGTCGGTCTGGGGTCCAAGAGCTCCCCCTTGTCCAATCAGCTGTCTCTGCTGGTTTTGCCAGCCCATTCTTTGCCAATTTGCTCATCGCTCCTTTCTTTCTGTCACTGGATTCCATGGGTTCAGTTCAGTGTTTAACTGTGGGTGTTTGCCTCTGCTTCCATCGGTCACTGGATGAAGGTTCTAGGATGGCATATAGGGTAGACATCAAGTTCATTATCAGGAATGGACATTTAAAGTGGTCTCTCCACCACCAGATTTCCAGGACTTTTATTTTGAAGAGGTGTTTGATTTTGCCAAAGGCTTTGTCTTCATCTAATGAGACGATTATGTGATTTTT